TGTTACTACATTCAAAACATGGTTTTTAATCCTTAATTGTGAACTAGTATGTGGTGACTATGATTAAGAATGTACTTAAGTGTGAAGATGACTAAAATCTGTGGAGATAATGAATTTTTAACATGTCATGTGCATTGGAAATCCCTGAGGCAACGTTGGAAGGTTTAGGTTTTGTTTTGTTTTTCTGTTTTGCTCGAGGACTAGCAAAAGGTAAGTGTGGGGGAATTTGATAAGAGCATATTTAGGCAACTTAGTTGGCTTGTTCTTGTGCATTTACGTTGTTATTTCTTAGTTCTTTAAGTCGTTTAAGTTATTTTCGTATGTTTTCAGGTTCTAAGGGCTAAAGGAGCAAAGAAGTGCATTTTGGAGCCTTTTGGAGCACTTTTGGGCTAAGGATGGATAGCTTATGCTTGGAGCCAAAGTGTTGGACGAAATTGAAGGCCTTGTATGCACTTTAGGACATCCTAACCCGTGCAAAACCATCCATTCCAGCAGGAACCCTTGTTTGCCGTGCAAAACAGCACCATCCACACCTTGCCGTGGCCTCCCCTTGCATTTCCAGCTTTCCCACTTCATCATTGCAGCACATTCTCTTCCATATTCCCTCTTTAATCCACATGCATTCATCATCATTCACCCTAGCTGTCACTCACATGCTTTCCCATTCTATAATTCAGCCACATGCACCCATAATCAAACAATCCCTTAGCCGTGACATGCATTCATCATTTAGCAACTTTTCCTAGCTGTTTTTCCATTCATTCCCTTCATAAAACAACCAGCCACACTTCCACATGCATTCCCTCTTTAATCATTCCCTTCTAGCTGCCATTCACTTGCTCTCCCATCCATTCTCTCCCTATAAAAACCATACACACTTCACACCAAAGAGAACATCCTGGAGCCGTGCAAAAACCACTCATTTCCAGCATCTCCCCTTCCATTCCAGCAACAATCCCATTGCCGTGGCTTCCCCTTCATTTCCAGCATCTACCCTTCCATTTCAACCACTCCCCATCCCTCCAAAACACTATCCTACCATCACACATCCATTCCTCCATACAAATACCACCCCAAAACCTATCCTTAGACCTTGTGCCACAACAAAGAGGAGGAGAAGAGGGCCTAAACGTTCATACAATTCAAGTTTGAGTTGTTGGAATTTTTAGGTGTTTTCTCTCCTTGATTTCAATGGTTAAATTTACTTATCTTTGTCTTGTACGTATGAGGAACTAAACCCCCCATTAGCTAGGGGGTGATTCGAAACCATGTTTATGCTTGCAATATGAATTGATTACCTTTGGTTGGAATTTCATGAGTTGTGGATTCAATTTGTTTAACTGTTTGATTGATAACTTATTTATGTATGTTTATTGAGAGTGCACGCTTAATTTTCATGCATGAATATGACGCTAGAATATAAGTGAGTTTCACCTAATAGTTATGAACTTATATTCACAAGTAGTGGAGGTTGCTTATAAACAATCGCGTTAAATGAATTCTTGGCACTAGTTTCATGCTCATCATAGTAACGAATGCCTCGTCAACACTTATAGTTTTCATGATGCTTAATGATCTTTGATTGTATCTTTATTGTGCTTTTCACGTAAAGGACTTTTGGAGAATGTTGTGAATTGCGTTGCGCTAACCCATCCAATTCATTAACTTAAGGAGAACTTGACGGTTAATTTAAGCGGACCTAATTAACCCGGGGTGTTGAGTTTCATAATTCATCGAAAGACCAACCGAAAATCATCTTGTATGCAAGTGTAACATGTGTGGAGAAAAACCTTCTAGCTAGCATTCATCCATATTTTCATCACATTCATATTTACATTCTGCCCTTAATTGCAATCTGTGCATTTTATTTTAATTTCGTCAAAACCTCAATCCCCCCCATATTTTGTTTAGTCTTTGTCATTACAATCTATCTTATTTTGTGTTTTTAAGTATGTGAAGTCGTGTGGACTTATTTTGAGTTTTTGTTAAGTGAGTTAAGTGTTTTAAAGGTTAGTTTTATTTATTTGAGTCAGTTTAAAGTGTTTAGCACCCCTAGTTAATCCCCGGTTAGAACGATCCCTACTTACATCATTACTACAATTGTCACAAATAGGGTTTAATTTGTGTGTCACATAAGTAACGCATCAAACACCATGTCGAATCTTAACAAACTCGACTTTACCACTCTGGAAGCATCTAGAAGAAACTACTTGAAGTGAGTTCAAGACGTGAAACTAGACCTCACTACAGAGAATGTTAGGACTTAGGACTACCATTGAAGCTAAGACAAATAATCCAGTTGACGAAGCTGATAAAGTCATTGAAGAATACATGGGATGACCCAAACAATGATGTACCCACCCTTTTGACTCTCTAGAGAATTTTCATATACAAATACGCGACATTATGTTCAATTACATTATGGTACTGTGGTTTGCTATATGAAAATAATCTAGATTTTCTCACCAAAAAAATAATAATTTGTGTGGATCTTGAGCGATTATCTACCAAAAATTCTATGAAGATCTATGTTCGTGATTTAGTTGATGTCTAGGTCTCTCGAGATATGTTCCTAAAAAACCCGATTAGTGCGGATTCTTTCCCCAATTAAGGAGATCTTGGCGCATGGTGTTAACCAAGTATGAGAAGTAATGAACAGAGAAAAAAGTAGGGAAAGAGAAGCTTAGAGGAGAAGAATTGAGAATCTATATATTTTCGTAATGATGAAAATTTTACTAGTATTCACTTGTATAGTAACACTGATACAGGTAGGCTTAACGGCCTTTCCAACAGCATGACCATTGGTCCGTTTCTCCAACATAATATATAACAACCTAATTAACTCCTCTCTTCACCAACTGACACGTCTCTCAATCTAGACCATCCATACTCTTCATTCCCCAAAAGATGGAAAAATTGCCCCTTCAAACCTCAAATGACGTTGCTTTTTTGCTTGACATGGATGAACAAGTTTAGAAACTTGATCTTTATTGATTTGTTTTGTGAATACGCATCCACAAAATACACACAGGTAGATAATAAGATCGATTCCTACTGATGATAAATTAATAAATTTCGTTAGCCTAGCACAAGTATGGCTGTCCAAGTGTCCTTTGGGGTAGGGTTGGCACAAAGTCATACAGAAGGAGAAATTTTTCATTGTGGCGGGAATACAGATGGTACACCACGTGTTTTTATGTAAATGGTGAGAAATTTTATTTTTTAAGTTATTAACTTTTTAACACACATATCCCACCACTTGTATAGTGACACGTGGTGTACCATCCCGTATGCTAAAAAATCTCTCATACAGAAAGGGCTGCCTAATCTTCTCAGATAAAAAAATAAAAAATAAAAATAAAAAAATAAATTACCGAGGAAAAGGCAGCTTCTTACTAACATTTCTTGGCAAAACGGGGCGATCAACAACCATCTTCAGTGCTCTCTTCAGCGCCACCACCTAACCCTTGCAACCACACCGCATTTTTACTCCTTCCACCCACTGTCACCATCTCAGCCCACACAACCCTTCGGTGCTCTCTTCAGTGCCCTCTTCATGTCTGATATGAGCCCCGGGCCTATCCTCACAGCTGAATGTGGCCTTGAGTAGCCCTTCCTTCTTCCCCTCACATTGTTGTACATGTTAGGATTCGTTGGGAAACTAATTTGTTTCGGATAATAACTTAGAGTGGATTGCATTGGACAAGCTAGAAAAACAGAGTCCTGTCCAAAAAGCAAAATCCAATCAAAAATATTGAACGGAAATTGAACAAGATAAATTGGAAACGGCAGAAAAACAAAAGGACTCGTAAATAGACGTGCATACGCACACCTACCTGTTGCAGTATAACCATGAAAAATAGCAGAGAAAAAATTGAGGGAACAACAGATTGATCTTTCTATACAGGAAACGTTCGGGAACGAAATCTTTCAAATAAATGCTACGATAAAATATATTTGCATTTAAATGTGAGTGCGTGAAGCATTTATTCTTATAATTATGTGACACATTCAACCTAAGAAATGGCATTTAATCTTATAATTACCAAACAATTTGTGATATAATAATAAATATATGTTCACCCGTCTTATTTTCCCACATTTTTTTAGTGAAAATTTAATAGCAAATTTAATCTCATGTAAAAAGACTTCAAAAGTTCCATTAAAAATTAGGGATCTTTAGTTATAGACCCTTACAACTCTTGATTTTTAGATAAAAACCACATATCTTTAAACATATAATATAAACCCAAAATTCAAATATTTTGCCACGTCAGAAATGAAGTGACCCATTACTTCAGATAATTTACAGCATGTGCCACAACCCTTCTAACGTTTTCTCACAATAAAGTGGAAAATTCTATTTAGAGTATGACTTCCACATCCAGAAAAAAAAAATGATATTGCACGTGCTTATAAGTAATTAAGCTACTCACATATTGCCAATTGGTTTTATGGTGGAATCTCAACATTCTTCATGACATTAGAGCAGGTTGTCCTATGTGTGAAGCAATGTACACATGTGCTCCATGGCACCTAATTTTTGTTGTTCATATGTAATGCTTGAAAATTCACCACACATGAGTTATCACGTTAAAAGCATAAATCTCACCTCAAGAAAAGAAAGGATTGTGCTTATAAGTAATTGCATTACTCGGTTTTATAGTTAAACCCCAACTTTCTTCAATTACCCACTTATTCGAGGCGGAAGAACAAGAATTCTGTCCCTTGAATGTTCAAAGTTTTGTTGGAAGAACAGGAATTAAGTTTGAAGCTAATACGATAGCTAGGTGGTCCGAAAACGACACGGTTAATACCACATGTTGAACAAGTCCCATGTCCTTTGACACGAGACACGCGTAATTGTTTTTAAAATGGCAATAGCGTTAATGAGTTATATAGCTAGTTAGGAAGTGAGGAATCAGTGCAAGTGATGCTCCCTCCTACGAATCTGGTCATAAAGTCACTCTAACATGTTTAAACTTGCATATGAACCACGATGAAGAAATAGAGAGTCGGTAATATGTTAGTGAGCCAATCACTGACATGCCTGTATACACACCACAACACGAATCAACAGATTACAAATCACAATACGAATTGTTTTGACACCTCAGAATGATAGTATTTGTTTCATACATACATCCGAAACAACACAAACGATGGAGGTCCCAACAGATTTCTACATTTCATGACCTCACATCTTTTAGGACTCCCCCCTTTTCAAGTTCGCCGACTAAATCCCTCAGAGACGGAACTTTCATGGCTAAAGTCCTGTACAGCCTAGAATACCGAGCTCGTGTTCCATCGGCAGTCCTTGCCAAGGCAAGCAAGCTTAGAGCCTCAGGGAGTTGGGAGAATACATGTTTCATCTCCTCCAAGCTCATACTTTCCAGAACAGATGGTCTTGGGACGACCCTGACAACCTCACCACCTTTAGGTTCTTGAATCTTGGCATCTGCTTTAATGACCAGTTCTGAACTTGAGTTTGCTCCACACTTGATGATAAATGGGGTCGTGGAGCCTGTATTGAACTGCAGGACATTCCACTGCGCCACATCGGTTTCAGTATTAACCCCCACGAAATCTGTAGATGGTTTGCGAGCATGAGATTGCTCTTGAAGATCATCTTCTTCAGGAATAGACTGCAAGCAACATTAATAAGATTCAAGGGTGAAGCAAATAAAGGATCAGTCGAAAGCATTAACACATCAACTTTACAAGAAGCATCTGTTACAAAAGAGAAAATAAAGACAAATTATGTTGCAAAATATCCTCTTACCAGATTGTCTCGCAACATAAAATGCTTATATTACATCGTGAATATGGACAACTGATCAGGTTAATTTGTACCAGAACGCGTGGACCATATTCAGAGTCTAGCAAGAGAACATTACCCAGTATCTGTATATCTATATTTATAAGTGTTCAGAATTTCAGATACCTGGATTAGATGACGAGCATCAGCAATTTGTCTTTGTGCACAAGGATGATCAATGTCCAGAAGAGAAGGCATCCGTTCAGCAAGTTCGTCTAGAGATGCAAGCATTAGTTTCTTTTTGTTCTTGCTTAAGGTGCTTACAGACGATTGTCCTATTAAATCCTGTATAAATAAAAAAAAGTAAGATTATATTATCTTGCTTCTAATTTACAAAATCCCAATCATTAAGTATCACACTAGAAGTAAAAAGAGTACCTTGACTTGTTTCAATATGCCATCGAGGGAAATGAGAGATGCTAATCGTGCATCTTCACCAGCAGTGGAAGGATTTTGAATAGGTGGACCACCATCTTCCAATGTCAACAAGGCTACATCACTTCTTATTTGTTGCAAAATCTGATGCAATCAAGAAATCAGCATAATATCCAATAATGGGCACAAGAAGAGAATATCATTTCAGCCAACCAAGTTACCAACACCAAAAATGGAAACATAAAAAGAAGAATTCCAACTCGGATGCCAGTTGCCATTCAGTAATTTCCAAATATATGAAACTCCAATAAACCCGGAGGGCCAAAACTTTTGCTTGCCCTTTTTTTTTTAACGTAGATATTTTAGTAGAATTACATCCTTTTTGTTAGAAGGATTTCTTGCTTTCTGTTGGACGTGCAAATTTTCATCTATGAAGTGCACAATATAGGTAAGAAATACTTTCTAAGATATGCACATATATCAGTAAAGAATGATTACCTTTCTCCTTTTGTGATCAACAGACTCGAGAGCTGATCGCAGTTTTGCAACCTGTGCAGTATCTTCTGCCCCTTCTGATGCCAATGTACCAGCAATATCCTGGAACATGAAAGAAATTCAGAAATCAACAAATAATTCATTGATAGAGCATCACAAAACAAGCTGCATCTTAGATATATATAGTAGAAGTATTTATATTGCATTTCATGTTTAAAGGAAAATAAACATCGTTACTCCAAATTCAACAAGTAAACCACAAAAATGCTAATGGGCATAAATACAACAAAGAGGCTACCAAAAGATGAATAGAAAGACACCAGTATATGGACCAATGTTTTGAAAAACTAGTATTGAGACTAGCCTAGGTGGGTTTTTGGGCAGGGCTATCAAGAAACGCCTTTGCCCAGTGGGAGTGAGCTATAAACTAGCCTAGGCACCTGAGGCGATAGCCTAGGGGTTTGAATTATCATAATTTTTCTTTAAACAGCCCAACCCAAAACGACGTCGTTTTGGGCAGGGTGTTATAAAATTTATGCTAATGTTATATTCCTAAGTTTCTATGAATAGAAAGGTACAGATTTCCCAGTTGCATATTATCAAATTAATTAAGCCCTCAGGCATTTTTAGGGGAGAAAAATCAATAGCAAACCAACTATGTGGTGCTTATTATCTAAGTAATTGGGCCTCCGGGCATTTTATAGGGATCAAAAGCAACACTAAGCCAACCATAATGTGGTGATCTCCGATACCTACTCTACAGTAGTACTAGGCTGCAATAAATCCATGCATACCTTCAAGTGCTGCAATTGAGAACTGTAGACCCGCTTTGAATACTCGGATAGAAGTTGGCCAAGAGCATCTGTATTAGGAGGCACTGCAGCACCAAGTCCAGCCATCCAACCATCCATGATTGCAGTTGAAAGGAGCTCCAACTGACCAGTTGTCCCTCCTGATGCATCCTCTCCAGTAACAGAGAGAAAGTCAAAATTTTCTGCAAGCCAGGATCTAAGTTGGCGCTGGAGCTCACCAGCTGGTGTATGCACAAACAGAGCTGCAAGAGCTTTGTTTGCAACTGCAAAACTTTTTGCTTCTTCATTTATTTCCTTAAGCTTTCCAGCAGTTACCTGCTGCCTTGGAGTATCCTGTACATTTGAATGCTGAGCTGAGTGCTACATTATACAAACCATTTGCAACAAACGAGAACACTAGCAGAAAAAGGTTAAAATTATTAAAGTAGTGTACATATGGGTAGTGAAGAAGCACCAAAAAAGGGAAGAATGAGAAAGAGGTTCACGAAGAAAAGTGACACTTCCACTCTTGTGCTTTAAAATAGATAAAATGGCAGAAGCATAGCTAGATTTTTTTTTCCTCATCCTCGTCTGCCTAGTGCATGCATGTTGAGATTCGCTTTTCTATCCTTTATCCCTTGTTTATATACAGAGAGAGAGAGAGAGAGAGAGAGAGAGAGAGAGAGGACACTACCTGATCAAGTCCTCGTATCTTTGATACAACTGATGAAAACTTTGACTTCTTTTCTGGCTTAAGGTTCACTTTAAGCCTTGGATATGCTCATCAACATAGCGCACAGGAGATCTTCCAGGGCTGTTACCCCGGCTGGAACTTCTACTACGTCCAGTATTAACCTTCTCTAGAAAACTTTCAACCGGAGAAACCTATAACGAAAGAAGAAGAATAAGAAGAAATAATAAGCATTGGCAGCACCCCACGCCGACATTGAGAAAATAACAAAGAAAAAGAAAAAGGAGCATACAAATAAAAAGGTTAGTATCTATTATTTAACTTCATTACCTTGATGGACTGCAGCTCTGGTGATCTAGCAAGCAACGATCTAATATACAAAATTCTAACACGGGATACAAGCATGGTGTCCATTACCCTCTGTGGTTCCATTTTACGAATAAAAGAGAAAACAGCATCTCTTATTTCAGCAAGTATTTCATGCTCCCTAGAAGCCCCTGCTTTAATTACTGCAGCCAGAACCTGTAATTTGTAAAGAGACAGTTAATGTAACAACATCTCAAAGCTGCACGCATTAAGTATATTTACTCTCTCTCCCTCTTTGTCCAGTTTTTTTTTAATTTTATCAGACAAGAAGCACTTCCCAAGAACATCTTCTCTAAAAACTTTCAGTCATTTAAAAGCACTTCCCAAACGAGCCCCAAGCATACCAGCATCAAAAGCTTATTTGCTCCATCCGAAATGGCAGCAAGGCTGTCATGCTGTTCAGGATCAAAGTCATTCAAGGCAGATGTAAGATATTCTCCTGCCGGCGTTGTTTTGACTTTCTCCACACCTGTTTTCACCAAAGCAACAGTACCCTCGGTCCTATCTGCAGCAGCTGCCAGTGATGAAGGAACAACATCCATCGAGTGTCCTCTACTATCATTCCTGTTTTAAATTATTGCAAAGAGAAAGTTTGTTTAAGAAAGGTTTTTCTTTAAGGAAATAAGGGATGTTGAGTTATTTTATTCAAAAGTCTTACCTCACAAGGTCCCGAGACTGAAAATTTAGCGGCCCTTTGGATGATGGACTTGACAACTGAAAATACACACCAACACATTAGAAATTTGTTGATACCCTAAACAAACCACAGTAGTAAAATTGCTTAAATATCACAAATGAGTAAAGGAACCAGCTTATTATCTGACAATAGATTGTGATAGGACACCACACTTCTACAAGCTTGTAAGCTTTTCATAGAATTTTGAACCCCTAAACATTTTCACTCAATCCAATGGCATCATAATAAAGAACAATCAATACCATATGAATAAATGAAACTGTTACAATAGAGTCGGGACTCAGAATGCTAAAGTAAAAAAAAAAAATTCATTGCACACATCTTAAAGTGTTTTTATAACAATAAACACCCAGAATTACATCCAACCACCTGCACTCCACAGGTTTCCATGAATTACTGAATCAAGGAAAACGACGAAGGCAGAAATAAAAATAAGCACATAAGATGCCACAAGGAAATGAGAAAAACCAGAAGAATGTAGCAGATACATGAAATAGCATGTGTAACAATCAGATGAAATAAACTTTTATATTGTGAAAGCGCACAACCACATCAAAAGTGGGATTAACGGAAATTACCTTTGGTGAGCCAGCCAAAGATGTTTTCTCTGTCAATCTATCAAATAACTTTTCATTTTCTTCATGCAACCTCTGGTGAGAGAGAGGGAGAGACGGAGGGAGGGGGAGACAAAGACAGAGAGAGCATTAGCCATCCATTCAGAACACAAATAAGCATATAAAAATGAGCATATCAATTGAAAATGGGAAAATAGATTAAAAAAAAAAAAAAAGAATATTTTCATGCTGGCATGCACAAACAATGACTTGGTACGAGATAACTCATTGTGGAAGAACCTCTTCATAACACAATTTTTTGTTCCCAAGGAATGTGCCTTTGATTTTTTAAAATGACTCATTAAGTAAATATTATTTGAAAAAAAAAAAAAAATGACTCATCAAGACTTTGTTACTTCACCAGTCTAGTTTATACTAGTTTTTACGGTCTAATGGTCTTCATCTTTACATGCCACTAGCAGTTTCTTAGCAAGATCAGTTTGTGTCTATAAATATCAATTTTTTCCTTTGATGGTGTGTCATTATGAGTTAAATTGAAAAGGTTAAAATCTAATCTCTTGCAGGGTTCAAGTCTATGTTGGTTTGTGAACTTGTTGCATGAGAAATGAAAATTCATTTAGATTACAGATAGGATCGATAACAGATGTTCAAACACATGTACAACTAGAGATCTACACAAATATAAGAGGTCATTTAACAATGATCCATTGGCATTAACTTGCAAGTATTATTCTACATACAGAAAACATAGAATTATGGAAGTATTGCACACCTCTATTAATGCGTCACGTTTTTTAAGCTCTTCTTCCAATTTCTTAGTTACTGGAGGAGAATCCATGCCGTCCCCCATTGCCTTGGAATTTGATAGAATTCCAGACCCTGGATCAGAGACTAATGGTGACCGATCTTCAGTGGAATGGAGGGTTTCACTGAGTTTGGACTCGATGCTTTTAATTTTGGCCTGTATCGAACAGTTAATGTTGGACAACACCATGTGGTGCAACATTGCACCGAAAAGTTTCTTGGTTAGGAAGCATAAATGGGAAACTTTCATATTATTACATCGTCCACCAGAGTTCAACCATTTAATATGCGACGTAATTGAAACCTTAAAACATGATCAATCAACTTGACAAGGAAAACGTGTGATAATCACTTTAATGAAGAACCACAATACCAAACAATTGAAACATAAACATTCACTTCAAAACTATGATATCATGAGCAGAGTTAACTATGAAACATATCAAACAATATGCTGACCCAAATACACTTCAAACAATTTAATCACATTCTATTGAAAAATCATATGCCTACAAAACAATGGAGGATTTAAATTTTCTAACCCAAATTTTGAAAGTAGAATGCCATGAAACGACCAATTGCTCGTATGAAGAGTGCTATAAAGAAAATGTCGAGATCTTTCCTTTCTTCTTCACTTGTCACATAAAGCCCACACATATCATCTTAAACTAAATTTCAAGCCTGCACTATGTGCAGATAAATTTCTTAAACTAAAGTTGGCGACTGTGACACAACTCATACTCGTGCATGCTAAACAAAGAATATTACAATGTCTTTTTAGCATGGACTCCTTGTTACATCTTACTGTAACCATGCTGATATGACGTAGATGGGCATGATTATCTCTGTGGGACATTCTTCTAAAAAATCATCTGAAAACATGTAACTCTTTTCTTGAGCACACACTGGCATCAGACAAATATGCAGCATAGATTAAACTGAAAATATGAATGTATACAGTAGTTCCTGAAATTTTTTAATGGAATCACATTGTACTCTAAAACATATAAATGAGAAGATTATGCAGACACGTGACCAACCTGCAAGGCCTGAATTGTAGAATCTCGTTGTTCAAGCTGCACTCTCTGGTCTTGCTCCAACTGTAACAGCTGAGCTACTTGATTTCCTAAGCTGTGCATTTTGCTCCTTTTCTATCTTCTGCTTATCTGCAAGCATCATATTCTCTGCCTGCATCAAATGAGAATATTAAACCAGTTTAGAACCATGCTTACTAGACAAAACCACATTATCATGGTTGAGAAGGAAAATTTATGAAAAAAAAAAAAGAAAATCACTAAATTAGACTACTAGTAACTCTGGAGAAGTTAATTAATTGGAGTGCAAATCCAAGCCGTATTTTCTAACATTTCAGCAAAGGCAGACACATTAAAAGTGGCTTCCAGAACATGTTCAAAGTACACAGGAAGTTTTACTGGCTTCCAGAAACATGCAAGTAAACTAGAAAGCTGTATCAAATTCAGGAAGTTATAAAACCTTTAAATCTGACTGTAACATATCCGATACTTTCCATGCCTTCTGCACTTCATTGAAGAGCAGAACACACTGATCATTTGAATCCTTGAGTGCTTGTTTAAGTCCCAAAACCTCTTGTTTCAGATCTTGACTTTCTTTTTCCTTTTCATATAACTCCTTACGTGCATCATTTGCCTACAAGAATCATCACAAATTAAAATTCAGCAGAAATAAATTCATAATTTTGCTGATCACAGTTCGCTTATCAGCATAAGCTTGTAAGTAGATTGTCTTTCGAAGTGATTCTCACTTGTGTCAGCAAGGTTTTATTAAGGGCTCTGTGCTTCAATTAAAAGCAAGCTTTTTATGTTATTGTTTTTACTATTAGTATATCCAGTTTTAGTTAACAATGTCATGCCTATTCTATTTACTTGCTTTGATGTGCAATGATGACAAAAAAGAAGAAAAAAACTCAAACTGAGAGAGAGAGAGAGAGAGAGCTTACAATATCTCTCCATTTCTTTATCGTATCTCGATTCCCAAGGCTTAGAACAGCATTTCGAGCTCTAGAAGAGAAATTGAGAGATGATAATGTCTCCGACAAATTCGAAGCATTTGGAACGACGTTAACAATCATCAGAGTTTTTGAACTTCCACCTATAGAATTTTTTTTTTGTTTGTTTCAATAAGAACTCAAAGCCAGTTTTCTAACAAGATTGATAAAAGGATTTAATATAAATCAACTGTACATGTTAGCAAATGATAATTCCAGTCAAGCATACAGGGGAAAATAGGGTAATGGACACCACGGTCAATCACAAGTACCCATGAGACAGTTACAAACATATACAACTAGAAAAAGCATTATACAAATTGTTGTTCATTATTTTCCCTTCATCTTGGAATTGCACAGCCAAGATCAGTACTAACATAGACAATAAGGAGAATGGAATACCTAGTGAGTCTGCAAGTACTTTGGTAAGCATTGAATTTTCATAAGGTATAGCATCCTTTTTTGAAGTCAAAGAAGACAACACATCTCCCAACCTACATGCACAGTGTCAAATCAGTAATATTTGAGTACAGGACGGCATGAGTAAATATACAAGACACAAGATAACAGGTTGGCTTCAGCAGCCATGCAAAAACTTTTCAGTATGGATTCAAAAGGAAGCCGATATGTCGTTGTGATTGAACATAAAATGCAACCACCTATGTAGTATCCAAATGTGCATATGTGAAACATAGTTGATCACATGCTAAGAAATTATACAAAATGAAAATTATATACTGCTCATGAGTTCAAAACCAACATGAACCATTCTTTGAATTATAGGCAACCTTGCTGGAAACCAAAACTTACTAAATTCACAAAAATCAGATAAGTCAACGTAACATACGCAGAAAGTGACTTCATGACATGCAGCAAGTCTGTAACGCGCTCACTGCTATCATCTTCGGCAATTAATCCTTCACTTCCAGCCAAGTCAACTAGAGAAAGCTTGCTGTAGGTGTTTTCTCCAGTGATCAAATTGTTATAATATATATGTATCGTGACGATCCTGACAATAGTGAAGCAAGAATCTATTTCAGATAAATTAAAGCGTTGAACAGTTGTAACACATAGGCAAGCATGCATGCAAAAACAAATCACTACACATACTGAACTTCTTTATCTAGTTTTCAAACTTGTTTCAGTATGGTATGGTTCCACTATTCCCCTTTCTCCTAATGTTATAACCCCTTAAAACTGGACAGTTCAGTGGTCTTTTTTCAAGTTTTGAGTAAGTATATGTTTAAGTTCCATCTCGTAGACTACATTGAGTAAGTAAAAGGAAACTATCTAGTCAGGGTTAGGCCACTTGATTGTAGCTTCAACCAAGTCTGGTCAAATGTCAGACAATATTCCACCATGTCAACAATTAACTTAGATAACTTTTCTCCAAAGATGAATTTTTGTTACTTAATAGAAACTGTACAGCAAAGTGGGCAAGTAATTCACCGTTAGTAGAAGTGAAAACAACACTAAATCAACAAACTACATGTATATGGCACTAACACTACAGCTTTCCAATTGTGAACAATATCAGATGGGGATCTGTTTGGAAAAACAGAAGATACATGAGCCTGAAGAGCTGCCCAAAACTTGACCTTCTTCCACACCTCCTCCACTTCCAACTCCCTAAAATCTTCAAAGATACACTGATTCCCTCCTCACCAAATACCCAAATAATAGCCATCACCAGACAACCCCATTTCAGTTTAACTTTTTTTTCCACACCGAAAACCTTAAACTTAATATGTATAAACTATGTAGCTATTAAAAGAAAAGAATTTTAAGTAGATTAAATTGAATAAACAAGTTATATAGCCACTAAAAGTATTTTAGCAGAGGAAAGTGAACAAACAAGTTCAATTTGCTATTAAATGAAGATTGTCTGCTAAAAGTGAACAAACAAGTTCAAGTTGCTATTTAATGAAGATTGTCTTTTTAATCATAGGAAACAAAACTTTTAACAAGTTGAAATAGATCCTTTTTTTCTTTCAGAAAAGGTGTATGAGTTATAATGATCACTTTTGGTACCAAATTAGATGATAATGATCACTTCACTAATTGAGTGATCGCTGAACAGTGATAAGATTAAAACTGTTAAGAAAAACATCAGGAATTGTCATAATTAAAAAGAAAAAAGAAAACAAAATCTCACAGTTTAAGCATGGTGTTCTCATTCAGTAATATGAAGGGACTTCTTTTTAAAAGAAAGATAGAGGTTACCATTTTAACTAAGTTACCAAAAGTATGACTTTACATTAAATACTAGCCATATTAAAAATGTATGAAAGTTTGAGGTACAAAATTGGAACATACAAATGAGAAACATTGAACTTTGATGGATTATTTCCTCGGCTCTGAAATGCAGATTTTAATACTTTAGAGAAGTCCAGTGGGTTGTCAACTTTTTCCTGCACAAGTTCTACAAAGGATTCTGGTGATCCCATTCGAATCTTTGGTAGAGCATCTCCTGATTCTGGGAGTAAATCCCTCATCTAAAAGAAAATGGCAGGGATCCACATCAAACCATCATGAGGTTTCCATTCTCAAAAGCCATTCAAATAAATATAAACTAGAAAACATAAATACTAACAATAACAATAATTACCTGTTCGTTGTAGAGCTCAGAAACTGTAACGGAGAATTTAAATCTTGAAGTAGAAGTGGAATCAGAGTTGGATAAATCAAATAGTTCCTCGAAAGACCGAGCATATAAACCACGATCATGGCTAGATCCTTCCTGAAAGAAGGTTAAAGAAGTCCAAATATCATTAAGCTGGTGGACAGATGAAACAATGATCATGAATTTCAAATGAAAAAACCAAAAAAACAAGTACAGGTAAATCTCTTAGTGTACTAAAGACAAACCAAAAAGGCACGAAACACCCAGAGTGAAAGGCACAACCCACATTGCGCCTATTTAAATTCATGCATTAGTACATTGAATTTCATTTTTATTATGAGGTAACCATTTGAAAGAATTCTCTAGCTTACAGAAAGAAATGCAAAAAACAAGGAAAAGGTCCTAAAAGGTTAAATTCTAACAGTGAAAAATCACTTCTAATATCTTTTCAAAAGGTGAGTATAAACATATATGCATCAGAAATGCATATCACTAAAGACACAAACAAACACACACAGTGAGAGAAAAAAAAGGAAGAGATACCAACCATAGTGTGTGTCTTTCCTGAGTTGGTTTGTCCATATGCAAATATGGAAACATTATATCCATCCAATGCTGATTGTACCAGTGGTTGAACATCATGGAAAAGTTCAGCTGACCGACAAAAAATGTCAAAGATAGTTTAGCAGCAGGCATACTTTAAAGTAGGGAGTATTTTTTTCCACAAAATCAAAGTAGGAGTATATGATTAAAATTTCACATGGTAGAACCACAAAAGAGGTGAAACCCATGAATGAAGAATAGTTATTCTCACCCTGTCCAACATGAGGTCCATAAACTCTGTCAAGTTCAAAATCCTTCTTGGGGTTGGACAGGGCACCATCACCAGTATTGACACGGATATTGTAATCATCAGGATACTCCACAATTGAGGAACCTTCATCCTCAAATAACGGTCTTGTACGACAAAATACCTTTATGTTTCCTGGAATAAAAAAGTCTAGTTAGAAAATACTGCAACAGTACCTCAACAAACTTGGAAATAAAAATATAACTGGTCATGCGTGCATACATTTTTATGTGTGAAGAATGTGTACAGGAGGGAGGGAGGGAGTGAGGGTGAGAAACAGAGAGAGACTGAGAGAATTCCAAAAGAGAAAACTCACAGAAGATGAGTACCTTTGGCTGTCAATAAGTCATTGAACAACCTTCTCTTCTCATTGATGAGCGGAGAAATTCTGGCCTCGGTTTCAAGAGCAAACTGATCTGACATTTTTTTTATGACAAACTTTCAAATCCATCAAGATTATCCAAGAACATGAATAAACCTTACAAAGAAGTAGTAAACAAGTGAGGAATATCAAATTCAAGACTACTCTTGAAGGAAATTACATTCATATAGTTTTCATTTTGTAAGATTTAATATCAAACCCTCTCCCATGAAACCTACTTGGGCCACTTCAAAAAATCCTCCTTGAAAGCAGACCGCACAATCAAACAACATAACCAAATCCCTTACCTAGTTTTCGGGTTTTGTTCGCAAGAACGCCAAGATAACGTGTAGCTCGTTCGAGTTTCGCATTCGAGTATTCGTGCAACTCACTTGCTTCTTGTCTCAACTCCAAGTAATCTTCTTTAGCAAGCTGTTCCAAAGAAGAAGATAAAAAAGGGCACCCAACCTCCTAAATCCAATATAATCTTTACATAAAAACAGAAGCAAAACTTCAGAAGCACCAATGAAGTGATCTACATGAATATGTTTCACATTATACCCAAAGCTTCAATTTTCAAAACCCATTGGCGCTAAACACACACACACCACACTCTTAAAGCACACTAATCACTAAGATTACCACTAATTCAGCTCAAAACTCCATAAATCAAACTCTGAGCCCCTAAATTACAAAACCCAAAATCTCAAAACCCATTACCTTAACTTTATCCTTGAGCTTCTGGAGCTTGGAAGCCACAGCCTGGTTGTTGGAGTTGGAGTTGGCGAGCTCAGACTGAGCCAAAGCCGACGCAGCCGAGATCGAGTATCGCCTAACTAGCGGCGCACCGGGCTTGTAATCGTCGTGATGGTCGAAGCTGGACGCCGCTGCATCCGCAGCCGACGACGACGAAGAAGACAACTTCCTTGGCTCGAAGCCACTGACCTCCCAGTTCCACCTGTTTTTGTTGTTCCTCTGCTCCGCCATTGCCGTCGTAGTCGTTCCCCCAGAAAAACCTAGCCTCCAAAACTGGAAACCCAATTTTCAAACCCCAAAAGAAGCCGAAATTGCTTCTCTGGCTATGGCTTTGGGCTCTGTGGACCTAGAAAATAGAGATCATCTAATTTCTGCCATTTTCTTTTGTATTTTCTTTTTTCCCTCTTTCTTTCCGTCTATATGTGTATTCCCAATATAGAACGAGAATAATTGTGAGGATCTCCTCAAATCTATCCGTTTATCGTTATATATTTTTAAATAAATAATATTTAAAATAATTTATTACAGAACAAGTTTGAAGATTTTCATAACCCTTACAAAAAAAATCCGAAGAAATCTTCATTCCAGGATTGGTCACTCACACATTTTAACACTCGTATTGTAAGATGCACAACAACATAAATAACTAATTTTTAAGTCTTTTCTTAAATACTATGCTATTGTTGATCAAAATATTAGTGCAAAGATAGGTTGTAAGTAAGAAATTTTAGATTTGATTTTCATTAAAAACGAATTTCAAATATATTATTATTAGCTCACTGTAAAACTAAGCTCATCTAATGTCGTTTGTTCAAAAAATACAAAACATACTCTTCATCTTTTAATATAAATAATACCGTATGATTAAAAAATAAAGGAAAAAAAAAAATAGACTGTAAGCCTGTATTATCTGTACTGCCTCTTGTCTTTGTGGTTGGGTTAATGATGACGTCGTTACGGAATTTGGAGACACTTTTCGGCTTTTGGAGTCACAAGTTTTTTTGCACTGGTTGTTACTCGACACCTCGCTCTCGGATGGGTTTGTCCGTGGATGTGGTGGAGTTTTTGGATAAGGAAGGTCAGATGACCGGGCGTCTAGATTGTTCATTGGCCTTTGTTTTGGTCTCCAATTTTTTTTTTTTTTAGTACATTGATATTTTACATTAAAATGAGGGAAAGTTCGGCAAACCCACTCAATAGGCAGCTTAATTTGATATTAAATTCGCTATCCACGAGATTCAAACCTCTGACCCTTCATTTTCAAGTGAAAAGGAATACCACCGTAGTACTAAGTGACCCCAATTTGACTTTTGACCACTGTTAGTTTGTAGCTCACATACACGTGGAATAATTTGAATTAATTTTTTTTATTAAATTGTAGATTTCTTTCTCAATTAATTCGTAATATTTGGCTGGAAAGAGTCGTCAGGTGAATTCAAAATTTGGCCATTTTATAGTTGTTAATGATGATAAAACACTTTGGGCTTGGCCTTTTTGGCCCACACCTCTCCATGAATTTTATTCTTTTATTTCAATCATGAATGGAGAGCTTGCTGGATTTTTCATTTAAATGAATTCATTTTCTGTTGAAAACATTGGCGATGTTGAATGCAGTATTGAAAACATTGGTAGTGTTATGAATGCCCACATAGATTTTCAATGCCCACACAAAGTGATATTGACTTGGGAGATAAAGGAGGATCGTACTTTCAAAGATGTGTACTGTAAATTTCAAAATGTTTGTCTGGAGTTGCTCTATAAATAGAGCACTTCGACTACTATCAAGATACACAGACAGAGTCAGAAAGGAAAGATCAATAACATCTATTCCTATCTCTTTTATTTGTCATCCTCTTGTGCTATAATTACAGTGTAATATTTTACACTGCTTCGCTCCTATTACTAGTAAAGGGTATCTCTCTAACTTTGACCTATTTATAACACGTTATCAGCACGACTCTCTAAATATAACCATTTCTCATTTCTCTTTGCTGAAAGAAATCATTCCTTTTCGCCGAACGAAAAAAAAAAATGTTTCCTCTAAGAATTTTACTGTTCATCTTCTTCCTATGCCTCAACTGTTGGATATACCCTTGCGAAGAACTGTTTGCACCATACCTGCTTTTAGTTCTCAACCTAACAGTTACATATATCTTTGATTTCTTGTTTGGTATAGATCTTGATTACTAACCCAGTGTTTATTTATATTAATTTTACTGCAATCCAAGATGGTGCGGTACAATCACTCATCTTGAACTGCAAATTTAATCTTACTACAATCCAAGATGGTCATTCTTAAAACATGAGAAATAACGAAGATATTTGTCTTGTAGACAGCGCAACCACGCATACAATACTTTGAGATCGAATGCGTTGTACGCTACTCGATCTCCTCGAAATTTGTTAAGTTTTAAAGACATACGTTTAAATGGATACCACATTGAAACGAAAAGTGCAGAAAATGTGGAGTATCTATGCATTACCTCCAATGATACCTAGAAGTGTATAGTGGAGACGTTGCATGGTTTGTCAAGTGGATTGTATTATACATACATAAAGACAGTTGAATCACATATTGTCATAAACCAGAAGTTCATTGATTCAAAAGTTTACATGCTTTGGCATGACCATCTTGGTCACCTAGGATCTACCATGATACATAGAATCATTACCAACTCTAATGAACATCCATTATTGAGCAGACACATTGCTATCTCAAATGATAACCCTTGGAAGGTTTATTCTCAAGAGAAGTTGATAATTAAACCATCACAACTAAAGGTTAATGCTGAATCCCCATCATTTCTGCAAAAGAATTCAAGGGGATATTTGTGGGCCTATTCAACCATCTTGTGGACCATTCCGATATTTTATGGTTTTGGTTGATGCATCTATTAGATAGTCACATGTTTGTCTCTTATCTACTCGGAATGTAGCTTTTGCGAGATTTCTTGCTTAGATAATTAGGTTGCGAGCATAGTTCCCAGATTACCTCATTAAGTCAATCTGACTTGATAACGTTGGTGAATTTACGTCTCAAACCTTTGATGATTACTGCATGACATTGGGCATTGATATTGAACACCCTGTTCCTTATGTCCATTCAAAATGGTTTAGCAGAAGCATTGATCAAGCAGCTTCAGTTAATAGCTCGCACTCTGCTTATGAAAACAAAATTGCCAGTTTCTGCATGGGAACATGTCATCTTACATGTTACATCATTGGTTCGATTAAGACCTATAACCAACCACCAATACTCATCAGTACAACTTGTGTTTGGGCATCAACCAAAATTTCATATTTATGAGTTTTTTGTTGTGCTGTTTATGTACCTATTACACCACCACAACGAACTAAAATGGGACCTCAGCGCAGATTGGGAATTTACGTGGGTTTTGATTCACCATCTATCATTAGATATTTGGAACCCTTGACAGGTAAGGAGCTATAAACATATTTGGTGATATGTTTATAGCTCGTTTTGCTAATTGTCACTTTGATGAGACAGTCTTCCCGTCGTTAGGGGGAGAAAAGACTGTTCCAGAAGAATGGAAAGAGCTGATATGGGTTATTCCCACCTTATCTCATTTTGATCCATGTAGCACTCAATGTGAAAATGAAGTGAAAATGATCGTTCATCTTCAAAGTATTGCTAATCAAATGCCAGATGCATTTAATGATGCTATGAAAGTGAAAAAATCACATATACCAGCTACAAACGCACCTGCAAGAATTGATGTCCCTATTGTAAAAAAATAAAGTGGCAGCGAATGATTCCTGGTACACACTTGAAGCGTGGTAGACCCCCAAGTTCAAAAGATTCAGCCCCTTGAAAGAGAAAGTCGAGGGCACAACTGAATCCAAATGAAATCATTCAAGAAGAAAAAATGAATGACACATCCACAATTCATGATTATGTACTTTCAGAAAAAGAAAATGTCCTTGATGAGACACATATACCTGAAGAAACAGAAGTACATGAAAGCAAAGAAATCTCCATAAATTATACTTGTACTAATAAGTTATGGGATCGAAATGAAATAAGCATCGACGACATGTTCGCATTCGCAGTAGCCATTGAAATCATATTAAATGATGATCTTGAGCCCCACTCTATTGATGAATGTAAATAGAGACAAGATTGGTCTAAGTGGAAAGATGCAATCCAAGCTGAATTAAATTCCTTGGAAAGGCGAAATGTTTTTGGACCAGTAGTCCAAACCCTGCCTAGTGTAAACCTCGTGGGTTACAAATGGGTATTCACAAGGAAACGCAATGAGAACAACAAGATTGCAAGATATAAAACACGACTCGTTGCACAAGGTTTTTCGCAAAGACCTGGAATTGATTATGAGGAGACATACTCTCTTGTAATGGATGCAATTACGTTACGTTACTTAATAAGTTTAGTGGTTTCAGAAAAACTTAACATGCGACTTATGGATGTCATCACCGCGTATCTATAAGAAGAATTAGATGCTGACATATATATGAAAGTCCTAGAAGGACTTAAGTTGCCTAAAATACCTAGCAAACCACGAGGTATGCTCTCAATCAAATAAAGGCAATCATTGTATGGGTTGAAACAATCTGGACGAGTGTGGTATGTCATCTCAGTAAGTATTTGATTTTAAGAAGGGTATACCAACAATGTCATTTGCCCTTGTGTGTTCATTAAGAAATCCAACTCTGGATTTGCTATAGTTGCAGTATATGTCGATGATGTAAACCTAGTTGGAACCCTTGAAGAGCTCAATAAAACTGCTGAATATCTGAAAAGCGAATTTGAAATGAAAGACCTTGGAAAAACAAAATTTTGACTCAGCCTGCAGATCGAGCATTCTACTAGTATAATCTTGGTCCACCAATCAGCTTACATTGAAAAAATCCTGAAGCGATTTAGCATGGACAAGGCTTATCCACTCAGCACGCCAATGGTCGTTCATTCTTTGGACATTAAGAAAGATCCATTCCATCCAAAAAAATATGATGAAATGGTCCTTGGTCTAGAAATACCATATCTAAGTGCAATAGGTGCTTTATTGTATTTAGCACAATGTATTAGACCAGATATAGTTTTTTCAGTTAACCTATTAGCAAAGTTTAGCTCTGCTCCAACAATTCATCATTGGAAGGGAGTCAAAGATGTATTGCGATACCTTCGTGGGACAACAAATATAGGTCTCTTTTACTCAAAGAAATCCATAAATGACCAGGTCCTTGTTGGATATGCGAATGCTAGTTTTCTCTCTGATCCGCATAAAGCCAGCTCACAAACTGAATATGTGTTCAAGAATGGAGATACAACAATCTCCTGGCACTCAACAAAGCAAACATTAGTTGCTACATCTTCAAATCACTCAGAAATACTTGTTTTACATGAAACAAGTCGCGAATGTTC